TTTATATTTTTACTATGACTACTTTATCATCATATTAAAAATACTAAGTAATCACTTCTTTTTTAAAATTTTACTTTATATTAGTTTCCATTAAAATTGGTTTACACTGTATTACACACATTTCTTAACTCACGTTGTATTTCACATTATCATTACCACACATTATGTTTTATAAAATTAATCTATTTTATACCTACAATCACCCCATCTTTTCAGGTCCACATGAATCTTTTCTAATTCCGTCAACTCCTCCTTCTGCCCAGCAAACTCTGTGACCCCTTTGTTTCCACCCTGCCCACCCTCAGCCCCCAGGTTTCCTTTTCTTCCCCTCTTGGACCTTAATAAACATCTTACTAGTTATCCATTTTTACTATAATAGTTTTATGCAATATTTGTCCTTAAGATACCAAATTAGTTAACTCAGTGTAAGACTCTTCAATCTCTGAGATTATGTAATATTATTTGAAATTGTTGCTCCCTAGTGCTGCATAGTATTACACTGTATAAATGTACCATAATTTCTCATTCCATTTTTTTGTTGATGAACATTTAATTAATCATTATGTTGATGACTCAAATTTATTTAATCACATTGGCTAAATATTTATTATAAAGGGTTTCAGATTTTTACTATTATAGATGATATTAAAATGAATACCACAACATATAAGTCTTGATCTTCAACTTACTACTTTTAAATAGAATCATGGTTATTGGGTCAAAGAGTTGGATATTTAAGAGGTTCTTTATGTATATAAAATTATTTTCCAAATAGTGTACCAATTTATATTTTGGTCAACAATACATAAGGATTTCAATTTCACATGTAGTAAATTATGCTACATATTATCACCTCTTTTTAAAAAAAATTCTGTTTTGATTGCAAATACATCCTAACTATTTCAAATGATGTTTCTTTAATTAATAATGAGGTTATAAGCTTTTAAAAAATTAAAAAATTTGTATTTCTTTTGAGATTTTTCTGATCTAATTTTTATCTACTTTCTAGTATATTTTCCCATTAATCTGTATAATCTCTATAAAACATTTTTAGAAATTTTACATTTATTAAAGGTAACTTCTTACTCTGAGTTTGACATTTAATTTTATTCATGTTTTGACATATAGTTATATAACTGAGTTTAGCAATTTCTAACATTTACGATTTCTCCAGTTTCTCTTGGTATCATTTACACTTTTAAAAACTTTTCTATGAACAGACACACATGTATAATTTTACATTGCATATATAAATAATATTATAAGTGCCTTGGTAGACTTTTAGTGCAGCTGTTCTCAGTTCTGGTTTTTGAGTTGGTTTTTTGGATTTTTTTTTTCTTCTGCACCTCTCTAATCTCTGTTTCTAACCACACCACTTTTCCTCCCTATCTTGCAGGGTTTAAATAATCTTGTAAATAATCTTCCTTAAAAAAAGAATTTTCTTTTTATATGTATATTCTTCTAATATGGAAGATAACAAATTTCTAAAAACATACAAGTAAAATTAATCATTTGAACATTATTAAACAGTACAATGTAAATCATTTGAATTGTGTGGTAACATTACTTTGCTAACTTTTAAGTGATCTTCATAGAACCCATATGAACACAGGACCTTCTTAGAACCCATATGAACAAGCTTTTTGCCTTAAATATTCCTTTCAAGGCTTTAAAATCATCTTTGTATGTTCAATCATAGTTTCCTTGAAAATATGTTGGAGGTGAAAGTTAATTCAATAGTCAAAAGAAGATTTATTCTTCCCAGAATTAGGCACACACAAATCTATTAAACACATGGTGGGATAGGAAATTTGGGATTCAATAACCTCATTAATCATATGTATAATAAATTAGCATGTATTTATCCAAAACTTTTTTCTAACAGAGAAGTCAGGGATGACTGAAGAAAATAACACCTTGAAAAATGAGTTTATCCTCAAAGCATTTATGGATCACCCAGAGCTGAAGACTTTCCTGTTTGTACTGTTCTTTGCCATCTATCTGATCACCATGGTTGGGAACGTTGGTCTGGTGATACTGATTTCAAAAGAATGCAGTCTTCACACACCAATGTACATCTTCCTGGCAAACCTGGCTCTTGTGGATTCTTGCTGTGCCTGTTGTATTACCCCCAAAATGCTAGAGAATTTCTTTTCTGAAGACAGAATTGTTTCCCTCTATGAATGCATGGCACAATTTTATTTTCTTTGCACTGTTGAAACTGCAGACTGCTTTCTCCTGGCAGCAATGGCTTATGATCGCTATGTGGCCATATGCAGTCCGTTGCACTACCACACCACGATGTCAAAGAAATTATGCATTCAAATGACCACTGGGGCTTTCATAGCTGGAAACCTGCACTCCATAGTTCATACTGGACTTTTATTTAGGTTAGTTTTCTGTGGATCTAATCAAATCAACCACTTTTTTTGTGATATTCTTCCTTTATACAGACTTTCCTGTGTGGATCCTTATCTCAATGAATTAATACTGTTTATCCTTTCAGGATCAATTCAAGTCTTCACCATAGGCAGTGTCTTAATATCTTATCTCTACATTCTTTTTACCATTTTCAAAATGAAATCCAAAGAGGGAAGAGTCAAAGCATTTTCCACCTGTGCTTCCCACTTGCTGTCTGTCTCATTATTTTATGGATCTATTTTCTTCATGTACATTAGACCAAATTTGCTGAAAGAAGGAAATCAGGACATACCAGCTGCTATTTTGTTTACAATCGTAGTTCCTTTACTAAATCCTTTTATTTATAGTCTGAGGAATAAGGAAGTAATAAATGCCTTGAGAAAAATTCTGAAGATAAAATCTCAAGAAAGTATGAAAAAATTGACAGCTACTCTGGCTTAATGATTTAAATACTGCAAAAACTTCCAAATGAAATTACACAAAGAAAACATACATAATGTATATAAAATCTTGAAATATATCACAACATAACCTAGGTGAAGTAGTAATATGTAAAGGAGAAAGAGATAGGGGTGCTAAATGCTAATTCAAGATAATAAAAATATTCTTAATCCATTCAATAAACAATGTAGTATATTGTAAATTACATTTCTCTCAGTATCAGAGATTATCAAAACCAAAATTAATGTTATAAATACAAAATAAAACCCTATTGAACATTTTTTGGCTTCTTTTAAAAATAATTTTAATGAACATTTACAGAGAATTTGGATTTCCATTCATTCATTGCTGCACTTCTCTACCTGTCCAGGCTTCTCCCCCCATCCCCCAGTTCGCTCCTCTCTTTTAAAAGTAAAAGAAAGACTCCCTCCTTGGGAGGGCTATATTTTTCTTTTTCCATCTCTGTCTCTCTCTCTCTCTTTTTTTTTCAGTCAATGACTTCAGTGCAGCCTCCATTTCTACACTCATCAACATTGATTCCATGTGAGCCAATTCTTTTTGGTACAGTAATTCTGTGCATTCCCTGCATCTTCTTTTGTTGCTTCCTGGATCAGTCAACATTTTACCAATAGCAGCCTTCAGAATTTTAACACAAGGTTTGAATTTGTTTTACAGTTCTTTAAGCTTGTGAAATGATCATCAAGTTCTTCTTTTTGTACTAATTTCAGCTCTTTGCACATTTCATTATAATAGTTTGTTTTAACATTTCATGTTATCCTTTGAAATCTTCCATTCTACTAATTTACTTTGCTTTTCTTCCCTTTGTTTTGGCTTCTAGATGTACAGGTAAAATTTTCAGAGTCTCTTCTGCCATCCACTTTAGTCTCAACTTTATCCATTGTGTTTGCAATTATTTTCTTCCTGTATTATATCCTTTATGTCAATCTACAACTCCTCTAATCTTTGATCAAATATTCAATGCCCTAAACCTATCCTTGAGATGGTTTTTAAATTCATATGGGATACTTTGAGTTAAATTTTGTTTCTTGGGGATTTATTTTAGTTTTCTTCAGCTACAATTTGAACTTGCACGTGAGTAATTGATGGTCTGTTCCATAGTGAGCACTGGGCCTTGTTTTAACTGTTAATATTGAGCTTCTCCAATCACTCTTGGCACAAAGATAGTTACTATGATTCCTGTACAGCCTAACAGGTGACATCTATGTGTATAGATATTATTTGTATTTTTTAAAAAGCTATTTGCAAAAATGCAAGCATTCTATCAGCAGCCCTTTGTACAGTTCTGTTAATATGCATTCCCAAATCTAAACTACTATAGTCTACTAGGAAGGATTTAAATGACTACTCATAACAACAAAAATATATTCTATTGGTTATTTTATATTTAAGCCTCATTTTTAGACTCAACAAGAACGTGGGAGGGTCTTTTATTTAAAAGTCGGTTGTTATATTTTGGAAGACCATTCTAAGTGGTACAGCACTCTTCTGTCAACATGCTGTACTGAGGTTACCTGGGGTTGTTGCAGTGATGTCAAACTTTATGCCATTGGAGTGTCAAATGCTGTAATGGTTACTCATGGTGGACAGTGTTTGGTGGAGCTCCCAGTTTAAGACAGGTCTACTTCCTAAGCAACATTCCTCTGGAATGTCTGTTAACTTTAAATGACGATAGTTATAGGAGAGATTCAGGTCTTTTGCTCATAGGGTCGCTATGAGTTGTGTTCAACTAGATGGCAATTAGCAACAACAAGAAGTCCTAAGGTACAAATTATGGTAGAAAGATAAGCAAACACCTCTTGTACAGTTTACAGCCTCTGAAATCCCAATAGAAGGTCAGCTACGAGTCCACCACTGCTTGAAAGCACATACCAACAGCAACAAGTTCTCCCAAATTGTGCCAGAATAGAATCATCTACTATTTTTAATTTATTCAACAAAATATAGGGATAAAGTTCACTAAGTAAATGTACACTTCATATTCTGTTGCCAAAGTTAATAAATCCCTAGACATAATTTTAAAAACTGATAGGCATTTCATGCCATGACATCTATCAAAGAATCTTCTCATTTTCTTTTGCTATTTATATATTAATTCTATAATAAAAAACTATTAGAGATTTTTATGTAATTATAGAGCTTTTTCTGTCAAAAACTTGCATGTTTTCTAAATTTGCATAGGATATTTTCTGATATACAGATATTTTCAATTTAAAGTTCTCTATTGAGTTCTCCATTTGGAATTGCATCTTTTTTTTTTTTCAGCTTAAAACTTTACAATCTGAAATCTTGTAGTCACTGATATTACTATTGTTGATATTGTTGCTGTTGTGTGCCACCAAGCAGACTGCGACTCATAGTGACTCCATGCACAATAGTTCTGAACCCCGCCCTATCCTGAGCCAGTCTTATTGCTTCTAATACATCTACTCCAATTACCCTAGTTACTGTATCAATCCATCTCATCCAAGGTCTCTCTCATCTGTGCTGTTCCTCTACCCTTCCAAGCATGATGTCCTTCTCCAAGGACTGGACTTTCCTGGTAACATGCCAAAAATATATTACATGGAGCTTCAAAATCCTTCTCTCCAAAGAGCAATTTGGTTTCACCCACTGCAGGACAGTTTGTCCTCTTGGCATTCCATGGTACATTGCTTTTCCCAGCAATACAACTCAAAGATGTTGATTCTTCTTCTGTCACCCTTAATCATGGTCTAGCTCTCTGATGCATAGCAAGAAATTGCAAAGACCATTGCCTGTATCATAAGCACCTTAGCCTCTAGACTGAAATCGTTGCTCCTATAGCACTCTGGAGAGGTCCCTGACAGCAGATTTTCCCAATGCAATTTGTTTTTTTACTTCCTGATAGTTGGTTCCAAAAGTGTTGATTATGAATAAGGGTTCCATTTTCTCCACAACCTCGCCAGCATTTGTTGCTTGCTGTTCAGTTGAATTTTGCGATTCTTACTGGGGTGAGATGATACCTCATAGTTGTTTTGATTTGATCTCTCTCAGAGCTAGGGATTTTGAACATTTCTTCATGTGCTTGTTGGCCATCTGAATGTCTTCTTTGGTCAAGTGGTTGTTCATATCCTGTTCCCATCTCTCAATTGGATTATTTACCTTTATCTTGTTGTGGTTCTCAAGAATTTTATAAATTCTAGATATAAATCCCTTATCTGATATGTCATTACCAAATACTTTTTCCCAGTCTGTGGCTTCCCTTTTTACCCTATTGGAGAAGTTTTTGGATGTACATAGGGATTTGATTCTTAGAAGATCCCAGTCATCTATTTTATCTTCTCCTGGTTGTAGATTTTTCAGGATACTTGGAAGACTGTTTATGTTGTGGATTAGGACTACTAGAGTTTGACCCAGCAATTCCACTACTGGAAATATACCCTAAAAAGACCATAACTGCCAGCAAAGCAGCTATATGTTCATTGGGGCTTTGTTCACAATAGCAAGGAGTTGGAAACAATCTAAGTGCCCATCAACAAACAAATGGATAGAGAAGCTGTGGCATATTCACACAATGGAATACTACGCTGCGTTGAAAAACAAGGAACTCATGCAATATTATTCAAAATGGGTGACCCTGGAGGGCATTATGTTGAGTGCAATATCTCAGTCACAAAAAGACAAATACTGCACAGTGCCACTGTTTTAGAATGGGACTGACATCAGGGTTAGGGTAAGACTAAGAAAAACTGGATAGATTATGTATACTTAATTGAAGCAGATGAGGCAGAGAACAGTTTAAAAGCTATATATTATAGGGTATTATCATTATCACAGGAACCCAGAATTAAGTTTTCATAGTGGAGTGTATTCGCCGCATGGGGGGAGGGGGGCAGGGGTGATTGTATACCAAAGAAGATGTTTATCTTTTGCTTTTCAAAGAGAGGAGCGAACTGCAGGGGGAGAGTGGGGGGGGAGGAGGGTGTAGAGAAAAAAGTGCAGCAATGAATGAATGGAAATCTAAAATAATTTAAAACCAGTAAAATAAAATTTTTTTAAAAAAGTGTGGAACCAAGAAAGCTGGAATTGTTAAGCACAATCTCAATCTCGTCCCCATCTATCATGGTGCTGCCAATTGGCCTGTTTTAAGAATTTTTGTTTTCTTGATGTTGGGATACAATCCGTATTGAAGACTACAGTCCTTGACCTTCTGAAGCAAACGCTTCAGGTCCTCACTGTTTCCACAAGCAAGGTGTGTCATCTGCATAACATAGGTTGTTGAAGACTCTTCCTCCAATCCTGATGCCACATTCCCCCTCATAAAGTCCAGCCTCCTGAATGATCTACTTCTAATATAGATTGAAAAGTTATGGAGACAGGACACATCCCTGACACACTCCATTCCTGATTTTAAACCATACAGTGTTTCTTTGCTCCATTCTGACAACTGCTTCCTGGTCTTATATTTATTACATTCAATTATTTATATATTCTGAAGCATACTCTTAGTAAGAGATATAATGAAGGGTCTAACCTGGAAGCAGGAGCGGCATCCACTTCCGAAATGGCTTGCCTCCGGAAACTCTATGTACGAACAGTGCTCAGGTATTCGTTCATAGGGTCGCTATGAGTCATCTATGACTCGATGGCACCAAACAACAATAACACTGACAACGACAAAGAGAGAGCTACGTTGGCCTAGTGGAAAGGAAGTTATGCTAACAAGCCGAAGGTGGGTGATTTTCAACTGTGGCCCTTGGCCAGATTCAAATTGTTTTCCGGTCAAACATTCTTCTACGTGGTATAGCACTGGTCTGTGTGTTGCTGTACAGAGGTAACATGTGGTTGCTGTGATGCTGAAGACTGTGACAGTGACGTGCCAATTGTGGTAATGGGTACTCATGGTGGACAGGGTTTGCTGGAGCTTCCCGACTAAATCAAGCCTGGAAGCAGGAGTGGCATCCACTTCAGAAATAGCTTGCCTCTGGAAACTCTATGTATGAACAGTGCTCAGGCTGTTC